AATAGAAGAAACTATCTGTAAGAACTTGGGATAGGGACAGTGTTTGTTTTTTTTTTTAACTAGGCACAAAAGGCTCAAACTATAAAATAAGATTGATGAATTTAACATTAAATTTGAGAACATCTGCTCACAAAAAAATACCATAATGAAAATGAAATAACAAACCACAATTTGGGAAAAGATATTTGCCACATATATAACTAACAGAGAATTAATATCCAGAATAGTTTAGGTTTTTTGTTTGTTTTAGAGACAGGGTCACTCAGGCTAGAGTGCAGTGGAGCAATCACAGCTCACCACAGCCTCAAACTCCTGACCTCAAGCCATCCTCCCTCCTGCTCCAGCCTCCCAAGTAGCTGGGACTACAGGCACATGCCACCACACCCAGTTCATTTTTTTTTTTTTTTATTTTTTGTAGAGACAGGGTCTCACTATGTTGCTCAGGCTGGTCTCAAACTCCCGGCCTCATGCAATCCTCCCAGTCTCCCAAAGTCCTAGGATTACAGGTGTGAACCACTGTGCCCAGCCTAGAGTGGTTTTTAAAGGTCAATAATTTAACAGATAAAATTTTTCAAAGATATATGGCCCAACAGAAAAATGATAAGAAATAGGAAAAAGAGTTTAACAGAATAGGAAATCCTAGTGGCCAATAAACCTGTGACAGGAAGCTTAACTTTATTAGCATAATCACAATAATGTTGTACCTACTAATGAAAAGAAATTAAGAATTCTAATAATATCAAATGATAAGGATCTGAATCAACAGAACTCTAATAAGTCAATATAATCTCTTTAGAAAACATTTAAACCAAACATTTACCTACTCTGACACAGCATTTTCCACTTAGATTTATAATCTAGAAAAACTCTTGCATGTGGGTACAAGACACACAAGAATGTTCAAGACAGCATGGTTCTCAATGGCAAAGGCAGAAAGGCAATGAAACAACGCAAACGTTCATTAACAAGAAAATTCTGGCATATTCACGCTATGAATTACAGCAGTGAAAACAAAGGAACTACATACAACACGGATAAATCTAATGAGTGGAAAAATCAAGTTATAAATGACTATCAACAATAAGATTCCTTTCTTATACAAAATAATCTAAATAAAACAAAATAAATATATTATTTAGGGATTCACACACAACTGATAAAACTACTTTGTAAATAAGATAAACCCAAACTTCAGGCAGGTGGTTTCTCTGAGGATCCAGCGGGGCGCTGGGTGGGGAAGGGGCCAGATGGCACGGGGTCTCCTGATCTCCTGATGTGGGTAGTGGGCTCACACATGTCCACCTTACTGGTATGATTCATGACTGACATCGCCTTTATTCTTCTGTGTAAATCAAGTAACATATGCCATGTTTCCCCGAAAAAAAGACAGTGTCTTATATTTAGTTTTCCTCAAGAAGATACCCTAGGGCTTATTTTCAAGGGATATATATTTTTTAAGTACAGTACAACAATCTATATTTATTCATATATAGTTAAGTCATCTTCTTCTGGAACATCATCATAGTAAAATGGCAGCCACAGCGTTCCTTCTTCCCCCTGGGGACACAATACCTAAAGCGGAGCGTCCCACTCCTCACTTCACTGAGGAGACTGTCCCCTCAAAGCCTCAGCTTGCAGCACGCACAGGATGGCTGGGACCTGACAGGGGGAAGTGACCTTGTTGGTGGGGCTGCCCGCACCTTTCTGGTCACCTCTGGGACAGCAGCTGTCACGATGGGCAGATGAGAAGGGCTGCTCATCTTCTTTACAGCTCCCAACGAAATGCATGGGTTCTAAGGATACGCTGCGTAGCCACGCCCATCACTAGGTCTTATTTTCGGATTAGGGCTTATATTGCCCAAATGCTTAGAAATCCTGCTAGGGCTTATTTTTATGAGTAGGTCTTATTTTTGGGGAAACACAGTACTAAAAACTAAGAGATGTTCCACACACATACCCAGCACGGGGTCCTGGAAGGCAACAGCTCAGTAGGAACCAAAGGATGCATGGGAAGCGAGGAAGAATTCAAATAAATTATTAGAATGTGTTGTTTTCCTTCAAGTAGCAACATTTAATGTGACATTTAGCCACAGGTTTATATTTCCTTCTCTAAGCATCTAAATACACTAGTTATTTCCACAATAAATAACAATGGTGTGATCATATAAAAGGTAGTTTTCTACTTTTAAAACCGACCTATACACAAAGCTCAAAACACAGCTTCAGAATACATTGCAAATGTTATAAAACTTTTCTTTAACAAATATAACCCTTCAGAATATACTGATATAAAACTTTAATTTGTAAAAAACATAACTCTTCAGACTTTATTGTCAATGTTACCAAACTTTACTTAAAAAAGCAAGATAACTATTCAGAATACACTGAAAATGTTACATAAATTTACTTTGGAAAAGTAACATAAAATGGGAGGAAAAAGCAGGAAATGTGAAGGGAAGGGCCCCAACTTTTTGTCTTTCCTGGGAGAAAGTAGATAAATACTGTCTAAATTGGATACATCAAGTGGAAGTTTAATTACATTACTGAATATAATGGTGTTGGGGAAGGAAAGTTATGCTGACTAACAGGGATGTGGGGAGGGCAGCAGGGAAGGAGTCCTTTTTCCCTCTACGCCTCCTGTGCCCTGTGAGGTCAGCAAGGGTCAGTTTAGCACGAAGCACCAAGCGGTAGACTCCAACCCACAGCCTGGCCTCTGAGAGCAGAGCCCAGCTTCACACAACTTCAGATCACTTACTTTTTCACAGGTTTAACTTTTACTCAAATGCTAACCAGAAATGCCTGCAAGTCCAGGTCTAGGTTTTTAGAATAGTTTTCCTGTATCCACTGGGCAACAGATGTGGGGAGCCAAACTCAGACAACACTTGATGGTGTCAAAGAGAAATCCTATGCCTGTTGCTAATTTTGATCCCAGAGGCATGAGTGACCCCAAGCTCTCAGATCAAACAGGAGAGCTTTGCAAGGAGCTTCTAGAAAAGTAGTCCTTGCTCTTTTGGGTGAACTTCTAGAAGCAACCATCTCTCTTTCACCAGAACACAAGCTAGGAAGCAAATAGCTCCAAATGCTCCCAGCATCTCTATACAACAAAGAGCAGAACCAGCATTAGGATGAAGCCAACTCCATGGGCAGCAGAGAAGAAAATGGCAAGTCCTGGAAATGTCAGTCCTGGAAAATTCTGAGCCAGAGTCAACCCACCCGAAAATCTGCTTTCCTCTGGACTTCAGGTTTGGGAGCCAACTGCTTTCCTCACTGTCAGAGCTGTCTCGAGCCCATGGCTGTTTCTTGCATCAGGGTATCCCAGTGAATGGGCAGGATGATGGCTACTGTGGAGGGTTTAAGCAAAAGGCACGTCCCGGGTCAGAAAGGTCAGCAAAGGCTCTTAGAGGCGGCACAAGCAGAGCTGAGCCCTGCAATGTGGAGTGAAGAAGCCTTCTAGGACCACTGTAAGGCAGAGACTCCCAGAGGAGTCCAGCACACAAGTGTCTGGAGATGGCACCAGCAAAGCTGGGCCTAACTCCCAGGGCCTTCTATGCCTGCCCCAGCAGTCTGAATTTTATCCTAAAAAATTGACTTTAAAAGACTCAAGGCTTGGAGTAACATGACCAGATACGCACGTTACAAAGATCATTCCAGGCCGGCCCGGTGGCTTACGCCTGTAATCCTAGCACTCTGGGAGGACGAGGCGCGAGGATCGCTCAAGGTCAGGAGTTTGAATCCAGCCTGAGCAAGAGCAAGAAATCGTCTCTATTAAAAATAGAAAGAAATTAGCTGGACAACTAATATATACAGAAAAAATCAGCCGGGCATGGTGGCGCATGCCTGTAGTCCCAGCTACTCGGGAGGCTGAGGCAGGAGGATCGCTTGAGCCCAGGAGTTTGAGGTTGCTGTGAGCTAGGCTGACGCCACGGCACTGTAGCCTGGGCAACAGAGGGAGATTGTCTCAAAGAAGAAAAAAAAAAAAAAAGATCATTCCAGGGGAAATGTGGGGGCAAGGCTGGAAACAAGGAGAAAGGTTACGGTATTCCAGGAAAGAAATTATAAGGTGTTAAGGGAACAGCAAGCAGATGGCGATAAGGGAACCCGTTAAGAGAAAGAGCGACAGAATTGGGCGGATGTACTGAGCGAGGAGGTGTGGAAGGAGCGGGCGGGACGAAAGGCTTCCAGACAGCATCCCAGGTAGGTCTACAGCGCGGGCACCGTCCTGCTCTGGGAGGAGCAAGGCCACCGCCCGGGCACGCGTGGGCGCCGAGCCGCAGGTCGGGCGGCGACGCGCGCCACGGCCGGTCCGCTCCCCCACGGGTCACCGACAGGCTCGCATTCCAGCCCGCCGCATCGGCGCGGTTCTCCGGCGCTTACCTTCCGGTGGGGTAGGCAGGGGACGGACGACGCCCGCAGAGCGCCGAGCCGGCGCCCGGAGCGCGGGCGGGCCCGGGTAACGGCCAGGCCCCGCGCCCGGCACCGAGCAGAGGCGGCCGGCGGCGCGCGAGGGGCGCCAGGGGTCGGGGCTGCTCTGGTCCGAGGGCTGCGGAGGGACCCTAGGGCCGGTGCGCGGGGCCAACAGGAGCCCTCGGGAAGAGGCGGAGCCCGGCCCGCTCTCCGAGCGAAGGTACCTCACCTGAGGCCGGCGTGGGTCCCGCCGCCGGGCTCGCTTCAAACCGCGGGAGGGAGCCCATCCGCGCTTCTAGCCACTGGCCAATCGCAGAGTGATTCGCGCCGACTGACAGGCACCGCGGACCAACCACTGGCGCCTGCGCGCCGGACCGCGCGAGCCCGAGCCGAGAAGTCCGCCCAAATGGTTGCTATGGACGCACCACCGGACGCTCCTACGGTGCCTCAGAGGAGCCAAAAGAGATGGGCGCACCGCCCTCCCCGCCGGGCGAGCGCCGTATCCTCCCGCTTTGGCATCAAGAAGGGTGAGCAGCGCGGAGCGCGCCTGTCGGCGGCCTAGTCCCAGAGGCGGGGGGCACGGGACGGCTTTGAGGGGCGGGCAAGGGCTGCAGCAGCTGCACTGGGCTGGGAACAGCCGGCGAGCGGAGCACGGCTGGCGCCCCGCACCTGCCCGCCCTGCGCTGAGCGTCAAGAGCAGGAGGCTGTCTGCACGGGGTCAGTCCGTGCGGGGACGCCGGGAAAGGTGCTGCTCTTGCCCCTCGGCCCATTGTCCAGACGCGGCTAGCGAGGCTCGCGGAGCCGGGGATGCAGGTGGAACCCGCCAGCACCTTGCCACCCACGGAGAGATCCGCCCGGCCCGCGGTCGTCCCACGGCTCCGAGGTCGGGACAGTGACCTCAGCCGACCCGCGAGGCCAGAGCGCCTCTCTCCTCCGCTTCGACGCCCTCTCCGTCCGCCCTCGGCCGCATCTCCGAGCGTCCTGCGCCGGCACCCCGGGCCGGGCTTCCCGGAGTTGGCAGCGGGAGGCGAGGCGGACGGCCTCGCGAAGGAACTACAGCTCCCGTGAGGCGCTGGACCCGCGCAGGCGCGTCGGGGGCCTCAGCCGCTGCTCCGGGATTCCATTGGCTGGGCCGGCTCGGAGCCGGGAATCCTCATTGGCTGACAGCCTGAGGCAACGATTCCGGAAAGGGGAAGAGCAGCCAACATGGCGGCGGAACGCGGCGCGGGGCAGCAACAGTCGCAGGAGATGATGGAAGGTGAGTGGCCCTTGGGGGCGGCGGGCAACGGGCGGAGGGAGCGGCCGGCCAGCTCTGACTCTTGCGGGAGGGAAACTCGGCGTCCTGCCTCCAGCCACCGCCGCGCGGCCCCCTGACAGCTGCCCGCCGGACCCAGGGGCGCGGGGAAGGCTCCAGACTTGGGAGAGCCCCGGCCCGAGGGCGGCCTCGGCCGGGAGGAACCCAGAGCTGAGCCGAGGAGCGGCGGCGCGAGCCCAGGCCCGGGGGGTGGGGCTGAGTGGGACGCGGTGGCTCCGAAGCCCGGTTGGAGCCTCGCCCCGAACCTCTGAGATTGACAGGCGAGGAAGCGGGGGAGCGGTCCTCCGTCAGCTGACGAGGAAACTGAGGCGCAGGCCCCGGGACCTACCGGAGTCTGCTCACTGGTTCATGTGGCAGCGGTAGAGAAGGGTCTCCTCTTGAAAGCGAATGGACTGTGGTGAAGGGGTGGCGAAGAGCAGAGGAATAAAAAGGTTGAGTTATAGAGGGCGGTGCCTGTTTTCAAGGCTGTCATAGTTTTGAAAATACAGTTCAACTTTCTTCCTCCTTTTCAATTTGTTGGAAAAAATTTGTATCTATATACGTATGTGTATATGTTATACATACACGTGTGGGTATGTACTTAATTATATACACGCACTTGCAGTTGCACATGCACACACATTTACGTACACTTACCCCCAGTTGCGGAGTCAGTCGTGTCCTGGAGTGCTTAAATGCTTCTGGCTCCCCTGGTTCGGTGAGGGGTACAGACCTCCCAGAAGAGCAGTCACAGTCTCAGGTGAAAAGTGCTAGGGAAGAGCCGGAGGTGGGTGGTGCAGGGAAGAACTGGCTAGTTTGGGAGTAGTGGCGGCTGCACATCCAAGGCCAGCTCTGAGCTGTGGACCTTGAAGAATAATTAGAAGTCAACCAAGTTGGGGATAGGGTTAGGGAAAAGATCAAAGGTCACTCCAGACAAAGGAAACTGCATAGTCTAAGGCAAAAGGGGGTGTGAAGGGGAGTTTCACCAAGGTGACAGTCATATGTGGGATGAGGATGGGAAGGGGCCAGTGAGGCTGGCCAGAGAAGGTTGGGGGCGGTGTGGAGGTTATATTAAAGGTCTAAGACTTTGCTTGAATCTTTGTAAGTAAGAAATGCCTCTTCCCCTATCCACCTTCCTCTATCTCTCTTCAGCTGTTTCCATGTCTTAGCAAATGGCAAATACAAAAGCCAGGCTTTTCCCACCCACTCCCGCCCATGTCTAGTTAGTCAAGGAGCTCTGACACCTCTACTTTTTAATATCTTCAGATCTTCAATACTTTCTCCATTCTCACTGCCAGTACCTAACTCAGACATTAGTCTTATCTAGGCTACATTTCATTGCCCTGCTCACCACCCCATCACCCCCAGCACCCCAGTCACTTTCCTACATGCTGGTCTGCTGTCCCATGCTCCAGACCTCTCTGCTGCTCTCAGGTTTCAATTTGGCTGCCCTTCATTAGCTAAGCCCCTCCTAACCTCTTCCCACTCCCCTCCTCTCCCTGGAGTTCTCCTCTTAGGGAGAACTTTATTTCCTTAAGCCTGAACCACAGAGTGCCCATGCTTGGTGATAACTAATTTGTTAAATATCTACTGCATGTCATGCACATGCTAACTGCTCTTGTGCCTTTTCTAATTTAACCATGACAGCATCTCTGAGATATAGGTACTGTACAGTCTCCCTTCTACCTATGAGGAGACTGAGGCTTTGAAAAGGAATGATTTGCCAAAGCTGTGTCTCTGGGGAGAAGATGCAAACTCAGGAAGAGCCATTGGCTTTCCAGAAATAATTTTGGAGTCAAAGATCAGAATCTCTGTCAATGGAGAATAGATTAAATGGGGCAAGACAGGTCACAGAGGGACCAGTCAGGCAGCAGGGCAGGAGCCCAGGTCCCAGGTAATAAGTAGTAGCTGAGCCAAGGCGGTTGCTGGGTCAGGAAAGAAGGAATGAATTTGGAGGTTTTGGAAGTAGATTTTATAAGGACTTGTTCTATACAGCAATCCTTTCCTGGATGCTACTTTGCTAGACACAGCCAGAAATACCAGGAGGAACTTTCTTTCTCTCAAAGAGCACATCCCTTTATAGAAAGCCATAGTCAGGAAAGAGAGTACTTTAAGTATGGTTGATAATTCCAAATAATATCATTGCCTCAAATCTTCCAGTCAGTCTTCCAAAAGAGGTCATGAAAAAAAGTAAGAAAAAGAAAAGTGATTTGACAACCTTGCTAAAGAAGTTTTACCTGCCACATTTAATCATTGCTTTAAATATTTTCATTAATTCAGAAAATATTTATTAAAAAATATTTTGTTTGCCACCTTTAAAAGCTTGGAGTTGGTAGCACTCTGCCCAGTGACTTTTCCTTGGGTAGTCAGCATCTTGGCTATATTCTGGTTTTTCACTGGTGCCCCTCCCCATCTGGTTTGAGTTAGTCTTGATTCCTTTCAGAACGTGGGCCTGTGACCCGGGCTGGTTTTCTTGGCCAAATGGATAGTGGAGCATGGATGAAGGTATGTGGCTCAAGGGGTCACAGTGGTCCCCTCTACATCCAGGCCAAAAGTGAGAGTCATTCAAGAGTTGATGCCAAGGCTTTCAGAACACTTGGCAATTTGTCACAAGTTCCTTGAGGGCAAGAATAGTATGTTGTTCTCCTAAATATCCATGTGGCCTCCATGCTCTGCTCTCTCCACCCCAGATCTCCTGCCACGGTATGCCTCATATGGTACTGGGCCATGGGAGACACTTAGATGTTCATTGAACTAGATTCAACAAACATTTCTGAGCTGTCTTTTTGACTTACAGCTGTGTGCAAGTGTGCTACATATTCCTCAAATACTCACATAAAGTGGCTGTGGATTCTTACTGATGTGTGGGTTCAGTTGACAGGCGGGTCGAATCCGAAGAGTCGGGTGATGAAGAAGGGAGGAAGCTTGATGGCAGCAGTGTGACAAGCCTCAGCAGACAGAGCCTGAAGGATGGGGAGGACCAGGGGAAAGAGAACCCAGAAGGTACCAGGCCGGCTCGCTCAGGGGTGCTGGCTGTGTTGCATGTGGTCTGTCCGTGGGGTCACGGGGTTGTGTCGGTCCTGGGAAGGACCACTGTGCTCCTTGGAGACCCTCAGTGGGTCAGGGGCAGGGGGTTGTGCTCTCAGGGAGAAGCATGCCCTCTGAGACATTCCCTCAGTGGGCCAACTCGTCTATGGCACTTGCAAGAAGGATGTGGCTTTCTTATAATTCTACTGAAGGCAGATACTGCTACTAATATTGGTACTAGTGTGTCATCTGGGACAGAACCGGAAAATTGTTTTATTAACCATATGTTCAGAAAGCAAGATTTGAGGTAAACATTGTGGCTGGTTTCTATGTTTCTGTGTCCTCCTACCAGAGCAATAGAAACTTCAACTGTCTTGGAGAAGCCATTCCAAATGCCACTGCACCATTTCTGTGGGCCTGGGGGTGGACTTCTGACGTGCCCAGAGGTCAGGAAAATAATGTCATGTGGAAAATGGGCCCATAGCTTCCAGTTGTTGTTGGGGGGTTTTCTTCTTTTGGTTTTTGTGGGGGGTGTTTGTTTGTTTGTTTGTTTCTTTCTTTCTTTCTTTTTAAGAGACAGGATCACCCTCCCTTGCCCAGGCTGGAGTGCAATGGCGTGATCATAACTCACTGCAGCCTTGAACTCTGGGCTCAAGTGATCCCCCTGCCTCAGCCTCCCGAGTAGCAGGGACTCAGGTGCATGACACCACGCCTAGTGTCTCCTATTGTTTTAGTGAATAACAACAACAAAATAAATTTAGAGTTAAGAAAAGTAATTTCTCAGCCCATAATGGTGGGTTTTTGCCCTCCTCAACAATGGCCCAAGCCTTTTGGTTTGTTTGCTTAGAAAATCAATTTATATTGAAAAGAATGAGAGAAACCATGAACACAGAAGCATGTCCATGATATATTATTAGGTTAAAAAAGCAAGTTTCTAAATAGTTTGCATGTTAAATCTTATTTTTAGCTAAAAAAATGAATATGTAGTTTTACTTGCCTAAAAAAGAAAATACGTCAAACTGTTGCTTAGAGTCTTTGAAATAGCTGGTTTGAGAAGGACCTATAGGTTCTATATTTTCTAGATTTTATACAAGGTATGGATAATCATGCATTACTATTTTAAAAATTAAATTTATAAAATAAAGCTAATTTTTAAAATAATGTTGTGCTCTCTCTGCCAGCAAAGATGATTGGTAACTATGGCAACTTAATTTTAAGGCAAAAGAAGATTCCCACAAAAGTACTAGCCACATTTACTTTGGAACTTCAGAGTCGGTATTCTGGAAGTGCCGTGGGTGGAGCAGAGTGCATGGGAGTGATGGATGGGAGCTTTCATTACCGTCTGACTTAGTCATGGGCAGCGGGCGTCGGGGAGCCCCGCTGTCCTCAGACGTGAGCTGCCGAGGCACTGGGTGTTCTGGGAGGACAGAGAGCTAGCAGAGCACTGCCGTGTGCTGCCTGTCCCTGGCTCGCCAGCACAGTCGAATGATGCTGTTGCGATGTGTAATTGTGATGATGCCATAACGTGTTGTCCGTGAGAACTGTAAGACTCACTACGACTCACTCAAGGCACACGGCGATGAGACAGACTAGCTGGCCTGGCCTGGCCTGGTGCCTGGCTTGTCTGAGTCCAAGGTTCTTTCCTCCAGGTGACTAGCTGATTGAGAGTTTTCTGGGAACATGCATTTCTAGTCCCTAGAGAAACCAGGACTTGCTCTTATGACTGTGTTTAAGTCTTAAGTTCAAATAAAACAAACCTAAACATGTTAACTGTCAACCTTCTACTTATTTTCCCTAACTTGTTTTTAAAATATGATGAATACATAAGGCATTCAGAGGATATTCTAGGCCGACAATCTTGTTTGAGAGGTTAGCCAACATTTTGAGTGTGGGGCCAACCCTGTGTTGATGCATTACAGGAGGACTCTTTAGAGCTTGTGACCATGTGTCTCGAGAAGCCTGGGACAGCCCAGTTTCTACCTGTTGGCCCCGCATGGCTGTCCATGGCGTCCCTTTTACTTTCTGGTTAGGACGCTGAGTGAACTGGGCAACCTACCTTACTTATAGTGCCTCTTCCAGTGCACCTCCCTAAGCTTGTGAACACTGGGTTTATGCTGTCTTTTGGGGGCATTGGGGTACATCTCTTTATTTTTCCCAGTTCCTTTTATTTAATTCTTAGATTGGTTGGTGTCCTACAAAGTTAAAGTTAGATAAACTATAGTAAGCATCATATTTTTTAACTAGCCACAGCTGCTCATTATAGAAAAGGCAGTGAAGTGAATCCAGCTGTGTGGGGCCCTCCCTTGAAGCTACCCCAGTGTCGAGCACTCCCCTCAGGCCTCCTGTCAAGGAGCCGGCCTGACCACTCATCCTGGCAGGAGCCAGCCGCCGGCGTGAGGCCTGGACTGTGAGCTCCACTGCAGCACCAGATACAGATGTGCTCCAGGGAAGGAGGGGTGGCGTGGGCTCAGGTGAGACGGGAACTGTGACAGGCAATTTGCAGGAAACACAGTAGAGAGCATCCTGGTGCCATAGTCTGTGTCCAGATGGGAGGAGGACTACAAGATGAGCAGCCTGTTTCATCCAACAAAGAATTGCAAGACAAATGCCACCCGGTTGAAATGTGTCACCTTATTTGGATCCTAATTCAAGCAAACTAGGGAAAGAACTGAGAAGATGGTTGAGGAAATGTGAACGGTGACTGGATGTCTGGTGATATTAAGCAATTACTGTCACTCTTCAAGTTTTAAGGAGTGTGTGTGTGTGTGTGTGCATGCACATGTATGTGCCTTTGTGTGCGTGTCTGCCGCATGCATCTTAGTCCTTCCCAGCACCTGAGCTTGAGCCAGTTGCAACGCAGTGGAGAGGAAGAGCTGCCCTCAGCTGCCCCAGGCCAGAGGAAGCGCCTCTCTGGGGTGAAGACATCCAAATGAGTTTCTCTGCTGGAATTAGTTCGCCAGTCTCCCAATTGAGAAGTGTGTCTAAATTATTCAGCAAGGCTCTTTGATCCTATCTGCTGAGCTGTGCTTCATGTCGCATTGCTCTTCGCAGAGAGAGGCATTTGTAGGTGCTGGGCCACCTTCCAAAGCTATAAGAGGCGCGTCCTGGAACATCTGATGTGCCCAGCGCGATCCGTATTCAAATAGCCTGACTTATTGCCGCCAACAAAACAGGAAAGAACATGGGAAGGCCGGCTGCTGCCAGGTGCACAAGCCGAGGGCTCCCTGCCCTTCTTTCTGCCAACAGCTTTAGACTACGTGTCCTTTCTTAGTTCAGAGGTACAGATGGAAGTCTGGAGACCTTTGCCAATAGCTGAATTCAGGAAACTCAGGATATTTAAAAGACACCATTGTTGAGGTGGGGTTTAACCCTCCCACACCCTCCAGGGCCTTGCTGTACCATCCCGGTGTTTCTCCTCAGGGTTTGAGTTGGCTCACGAGCCAAGCTTCTCCAGACCTCAGTGGGGAGGCGGTTCTTTACAGAAGCCTGGGGCCACTGCCTCCTCTGAACGGGTTCTGAGCGGACTTCTCTTTTCTTCTCCTTTTTTCAGAAGAACATGAGCTGCCTGTGGACATGGAAACTATCAACCTGGACAGAGATGCAGAGGTAATGCCTCCTGCTTGGCCCAGCCTCAGGGCGTGTGGTGTGGACCACCCTGACCATCAGGTTGTCTTGTATGAAGGTACCAGATTAGTAAATGACTTCCCTAGAGAAAGCACCTCACCTCCCCTAGTAGGGTCTGATTCCTGTGTTCTTGTTATTTTTAATACAAGTTATTGAAATCCCATTTCTGTTTGACCATCTGGTGTTGTGTGGCAGATCATAAACGGTATGGCTCCGATGGTTGCGCTGTTCATGGTACGCAGTGCCCTGGAAAACTGTGTGTGCCCGTGGACCGCTGTGGGCGGCCGGAGCCCCACACTGTGTGGCGGCTGGCTGCTGGGCCTCCCGAGCCCACAGAGCACCTCTGATGGTGACGGGATAAGGCTGTAGTCCCCAACCCCGTGCCACGGACCCGTCCCAGTCGGTGATGGCCTGTTAGGAACTGGGCCACACAGCAGGAGGTGAGCAGTGTGGAGCAAGTGAAGCTTCATCTGTATCTGCAGCTGCTCCCTGTCGCCCACATCCCCGCCTGAGCTCCGCCCCCCCGTCAGATCAGTGACGGCATTAGATTCCCACAGGAGCGCGGACCCTACTGTAAACTGCTCGTGGAGGGATCCAGGTTGCCGCTCCTGATGAGAATCTAATGCCTGGTGATCTGAGGGGAGCTGAGCGGTGATGCCAGCGCTGGGGAGCGGCTGCAGACACAGATTGTCACTAGCAGAGAGGTCTGACTGCACAGTAGATGTGATGTGCTTGAATCATCCCCAAATCATCCCACCCCGCCCCTTTTGGTCCCTGGTGCCAAAAAGGCTGGGGACCGCTGGGCTAGGGTGTTTATCCTTGGAGTCTGGGCATGTGTTTTGCATTCATGGGAGCTGGGGTGAGAAAAAGGTGTCACACACCAATCACTTTGAGGGTCAGTTTTACATAAAACTGACATAAAAGAGCCTCTGGCAACACACGCTGCCACCATCGTCCTTCCTCTGCGGATCCGTCCCGTTGCTGCTGGGCCGCCTCCCTCAGCCTCCCCACACTGCCGCCCACCCGCCAGGCCTCCATAACTCCCGTTTCAGGAGACAGGTCTCTGGGCACTTTGCTGCAGCTGAGGGAGATTTCTGTTGTGTTCCAGGATGTGGACCTGAATCACTATCGCATTGGGAAGATTGAAGGGTTTGAGGTTCTGAAGAAAGTGAAGGTAAGAGGGGCACTGGCCTTGCCTTGTGGTGACTTGGCGGCACTCGCTGGGGTGTGGATAAACCCATAACCGGACGTCAGTCCTGAGGCGCAGGCCCCAGGACTTGCCCCATCTCACAGAAGGCGCCGAGCCGCCGCTGGATCCGGGCAGGCGCCTGCCTTTTTCCTGGCTTGGTGGGTGTGAGCTTGAGGGGTGGCCCTGGAGCTCAGCCAGTGGCTGGAGGCAGGTCTGAGCCTGCGTTCGGTTCAGCACTCTCCAGGCCTCACTGTCCTTAGTGGACCTCAGCTAAGTTGGTTTCTCAGAATGGAGTCCCCCAGGAGTTTTGTTCTGCTGGGAAACGGCACACACTCCCAAGCCCAGACGAGCCCTCCCTTTCCAAGTAGGGCTGTGGGCGCCAAGCTGGCCTCCAGCCTCAGGTGGGACAGGGCAGTTCTAGCTTAGCACCCTCACTCGCCTGCCTCTTGGAGGCCAGCGCCTTTCTAGAAAGCAGCGGAATGAAAGCACGTCTTTCCACCAGGAAGGCCTGTCCTGTGTCCTCCAGTAACAGCCGACGCTTCCTTGTGGCCTCCCCTTGCCCACGCCAACTGTCCTTTTCCTGCCCCCAGACTCTCTGCCTCCGTCAGAATTTAATTAAATGCATTGAGAATCTGGAGGAGCTACGGAGTCTTCGAGAACTGGATCTTTACGACAACCAGATCAAGAAGATTGAGAATCTGGAGGCGCTGACGGAGCTGGAGTGAGTCCGGAAACCTGAGCAGACCAGGGTGCGGGGAGATAGCTGAGTTGGCGCACCCGGCCCCCCAGAGCCGACCCTGCCCAGCTGTCGGCCTGCGCCAGGCCACTTCTGCCACAGGGTCCTGCCCTGTGACTGGCTCCCAGGTCCCTGCCTGCCCGTGTTCAGGGCTCCAGGGGGGCACGTTGCCCGCCTGTGTGTGGCCAGCCGGCTGGGCAGTCCGGGCTCGCAAAGCAAACCTTTGCTGGGAAGGCTGCAGTCTCCATCCGGGGATGGTGTCAGAATTAGGTAGAGGGGAAGGTAAATCCATAATTTCCTCTTTTGCCATTTGAGCTTTTTTTTTAAATAAAGGAATAAATGGCATTAATTTTAGGAGACAGGTCCTAGATAAAACTTTACCTGGGCTTCTGCCGCTTTGTTGCCAGTTGATTTTTGTTTGTTTTGTTTTTCATTCAGTGCTTCTCAGGTCCCTTTGGTGTGCAGAGCCTGAAGTCAGGCCCTGCCGCAGACGGTGCTGGGAGCCAGGCCACTGGGAGACTGTGGGCCACCCTCTTCTCTTCCCAGCTCCTGGGCACATGATCCCCTGGAGACTGCAGCCCCCTGGGTGGGGGTGTCACCTCTGAGTCAGCTGAATTCTATGCAACCTGTGCTCATTTTTAAAAAAAAAAATTTTGCTTATTCCCAGGGTTCTAGATATTTCTTTTAATCTGTTGAGAAACATTGAAGGGATTGACAAGTTGACGCGACTGAAGAAACTCTTCTTGGTCAACAATAAAATCAACAAAATTGAGAACGTGAGCAACTTACACCAACTAGAGATGCTGGAGCTGGGATCCAACCGCATCCGGGTAGGTGCAGACGCGCCCATGCGTCCTCGGGCCGTGTGTGGGTGGCTTTTATTTGCTGATGGTGCTGACCGGGATTCTTTTAAGGAAAAATGCTAACTGGAAGTCAGCATTAATAAGAATGTGTGCCCAGACTGGGAGGTCTAGCCTTTCTTCTGCACGTAGATTTCAGCTGCCGTCCATCTAAACCATGGCCCTAAGGCAGACCCTTCCGGTTGTGCTTTTCCTGGGGTGAACCAGCCAGCCCAGAGCACCTGGCTCCAGAACGTGCTCATGGTGGTTTTCCCCAGAGTGAGCGCAGCAAAGGCGTCACTCGCATTGACTGACGTCCGCGCTAGGGGCCTTAGGAGGTGTCTTGCTGCTGAGACACCCCGGAACACAGTGCTGGATCGGCCCGTCCTCCCTGGACGGCATCATGCCCCTGGGCTGCTCCCCCAGCGGGGTAAGATCTGCTCGCAGGATCCCTTTGACATTGAAACCTGGGACAGCATGACATGAGAGACTCCTAGAACAGGGTACGGTGTTCCGTAGGAGGAGCGAGAGCAAGTCCTTCGCCAGCTGACTCTGAACTGGCATCAAGAGTCCCTGGCATCTGTGGGGGGAGCCTGTGAGGGCGTCACTGAAGGGCTGACGGTGGGTGGGGCTCCCATGGGCAGGGACGGGGCTTCCGTCAGCCAGAGGACCCCGAGAACCCCACCCCTGGCTCCCAACCCGGGTCACGGCACTGAGCCTGTGTCTGCAGCCCCGTCTGGCGGCTCAGGCAAGTGTCTCTGAGCATGCACACCGCACCGCGTGTTTGAAGCGCCCCCCGAGTGGCTGCTGGAGGGATCACGGTGTACCATGGTTAGTCCTGCTGGGCCCTTGAGAGGCCGGGCAAGGGCGCAAACCCAGGGAGGGCAGCTTTGGCAAGAGTCTCTCGACGGCCATTGTCAGAGAGCTCGTGGCCACGAATAGCCAAGCAGCACATGCAAAACTAGAGAGCAGCCCCGATGTCAGCATTTAATCAGGGACCTCAGTGTGGAACGTTCCAGGAGAACTGTGGGTCATCACAAATTAATACCGGTGATGGCCGGTGAGGAGGCTCTGCCCTGCCCCGCTCTGCTAGCACGTGTTTAGCTTGCTTGTTTCGTGTCTGCTGACATATTTAAAGAATAACTTGTGCCAAGAGAGCAGTGCACTCTGCTGAGGGAACTGAGGAGGGAACTGAAGTGAGAATCGTTAAGCAACCTGCTACACACAGGGCACCTGCAAAGACCAGGCAGGGCGGTGTCGTCCCTGCCTGTGGCGGGTTCGTGGATGCGTGGGGGAGCATGCGTTCGCAGCAGAGCAACAATGGGTGGAGCAGAGCGGGAGAGCAGCGAGTCACGGAGTGAGGCGCCCGCCACAGGAGTCCTCAGTGGGCACGCCGGGATTTCAAAGGCCGTGAGAACTTCCAGCGTCTCAGCCCGGTAGAGACTGAGGCTCACGGGAGTCGGTTTTGGCGGGTGCTGTGTAGAATGTCGTAATGATGTGTCAGCTCAGAGGCTCAGACTGGAAGGGTGTCGAGGAAGCTGTCAGGCCAGGGGTCCCCACCCTGCTCCCCAGAACCCCAGAGCTCTGGAAACCCTGGAGTTGGGAATAAGCTCAACAGACGAGCCTTGGCCTCCCCACTGTTTTTCTTGCCCTTGTTTTCATGCTGTAGATTTCTCTGGGACGTTCCCAGAGCAGATAAGTAACTCGCCTGCCAGCGCAGAGCTGACACCCAGACGGCTTTGTCCCCAGGCCAGGCCTGTCCCTCTGCCTGGCGCCGCTCACGGGCCGCGCAGCGCTGACTGCCCCTTTGTCCTTTCCACAGGCGATTGAGAACATCGACGCCTTGACCAACCTGGAGAGCTTGTTTCTGGGGAAAAATAAAATCACTAAACTTCAGAACTTGGATGCACTCACCAACCTGACAGTTCTCAGCATGCAGGTATTGATCTTCCTGAGCTTGGACGCCACAGACTCGTACACACACGCGCACATGCACATGCGTGGCTCGCACACACGCTGAAGGAAAATTTCATTCTGTAAGGGTCATGTTCCTTTTCCCACTAATAGTCCTGGGTGGATTTTAGCCAAAGGGGACCTCCTCAGAAGGCTGAGCTTGCCCGATCTCATCCGATCCTGGAAGCTGAATGTGGTCGGGGCTGGTTAATACTTGCACGGGAGAAGATCAAACTTGTTCCAAATCCTCCTAAAGTGTTTGGCTCGATGACTATAGCCATTCCTTCCCCGTTGTACAGAGAACAAAGCTCTACTGCCTTCTGTGTTGGGGCATCAGCAAGCACTTGAGTTTGCCTACGCCCATGTCACCATTGTTGCTGGAAGCAACTTAGTGGACTCAGACCCTTGAGGCAGGACGGGGCGGGGTGCTCTGGGACAGGGCCTGGCACGTGGAAACGCTGGTGCCCTTGGCCAGGCAGGTGTTCCATAGGCTTCTTGTACAAAGTCTCATTTGAGTTGTAATATACGGTGAGAGGAATAAAAATTCATTTACTTTTAAAGTATTCAGCAATTCTGACGTTTTAAAATTATTAAATTAATTCAGGTAAACCTTCCCAACATTTAAAAAAGTGAGTTCTCTGCATAAAAACCTGTTGACACCCATGCGTGAATTTCAGCCCAGTACAGCAGACGCAAAACTGTGATCCATTTTTTCCCTTTACACAAATCTCATTCTAGCACATTTTAAGTGAAATGCCCTAGTCCGAGAATTCTTCAAGATGATAAGAAACCTCCTTTCCTAAAAGCCGTTATTCTAACACCTGCCCTCTGCGTCGTTCTCTCAGAGCAACCGGCTGACCAAGATCGAGGGGCTACAGAGCCTGGTGAACCTGCGGGAGCTCTACCTCAGCCACAACGGCATCGAGGTCATCGAGGGCCTGGAGAGCAACGTAAGGCTCCCCGGGTCTGTGTGGGTCTGTGCGGGCGGCGGGCGCTGGGCGGGGCCGGCAGCTGGCCAGGCTGCACGAGCCGGCCCCGGGCTGATGCTGGGGGGACGCGCTGGCCGTGAAAACCGAGGGAGCCCCTCCGGGCTGGGGGCGAGGGAGACCTGGGCCTGGAAGGGCTGGCGCCTTACTCGGAACGGCTGTGTGGAATTTCAGCACAGGTGTGCCCCATGTGCTGTAGGCGTTTGGGAAGACCTGAACAAACAAACCCTACCTGCCCACAGACAGCCCATACTACAGAGGGTAGCTGGTGGCAGCACCTGTCCTGTCCTCCCCTCCAGGCCCCTGAGCTTCCCGTACGCTCCCCACCGCCTCTGCCTCCCCACCCAGCCCACAGGGGCATCTGCCCTTCTCTGCCCTTCTCCTCTGGGCGCTGGGCAGCTTCCCCTCCCTCCCTCTCGCCTGCACTCCCCCTCCTGCCCTCCTCTCCTGGCTCAGGCTGGGACCGCCCCGCCCCACAGCTGCCTTCAGCTCAACCTGCTCTTCCTCAGTACGATATTCAAGACAAATAAAAGACTTTTTCTCATTCAATTTTACTGGGGTTTTTTTGTTTTGTTTTGTTTTAATTGCCAGCAAATGTAACCAGATTGGTCATTTTTGTTATTATGAACAGAGTTTTAATCTCATTAAAACCTCCTCTGGCCTCTGTGTCTCAGCCCCAGGGCCTGGTTGCCATTAGTAATGTTGTTTTGCAGGAAAAACCACATTTTGAATTCATTTCACCAATATCCACATAAAATTCTGGAAAAATTAGGATTTGCCTGTGGAAAGTTTCGCCATCTTTCTCCGACTTTGCAATTAATTGAAAGTTTAACAAGCAGCATGTAAGCCTTGCATTCCTGCGAGGAGCGATGATGAGTTGAGGGAACCCCCAAAGGCAGGGCCATGGCTACGGCTGCAGCCGGGGGCTGTGTGGAGGGCCCTGGGGCTGGGCACGCACCACGGAGCCCACGCTCGGGGCCCTGTGCCCTCCTGCCTGCAGCCATCTGCAAGCACCCTAGCGCCCCCCCACCCCCCAGGCCGCCTGTCTGCAGCCTGCAGTGGGTCACCTAGGCAGGGGTCCCAGGCAGGTGAGGTGGAGGCGTGGCTCACACTTGCACCAGTTGGGGTGCTGCACCCTGACCTCCGTTAAGCAGCTCGTTCTTGGGCCTCTGAAAAAAAACAGAAAAAAAACGCATTAAAGGACTGTCAAGGTCAAATGTGACGATCTTTCCTCTGGGATTGTCTTCAACTAGAGATCAGACACGACTTTCTGTTAGGTTTTATCTCTTAATACGTCTGGAATTCATTTTTGTGCTGGGAGGCAGGAAAGTAAGCATACCTCTTCCCCCGTGGCAAATGTGCTGTCCCATGACACCGGTCGGCAGAGCTGCTGGCTGGGTGCTTTTGTGTGTTTTTACGGTTTTTGGTTTTTTTGATATTCAGACTTTTAAAACTTTCCCTTAAAATTTGGGAGGATTGGGAGTCAGAACACCCGGAACATAGTAGGAGATAGAAGAGAATTCTCGAACGGGGTGGGGAAGGGACGAGGCAGAGAGGAAGGCCACAAAGGCCTGTCGGAGGCTGTCAGCCAGCTGTGAGCGCTTTCCTTTTGAGCTTAGAAAGACTTGCCAGTTGGTTTGATCCAACACACTGTAGCCAGCGGTGGAGCTTTAATAGATGTGATTTTCATTACAAAACTATTCTTCTGTTAAATATTGAAACTCTGTAAGCTTCAAAAATAACTTTGCCCAGGCTTAGCTGATTTGTATCGGAACGTGACTGTTTTTCGGGTAGACGACTGTAAATACTCAGTGTTGTCTCCCGGGGGGGCGTGCGCTCCCCACTGCAGGTGATCAGTGTCCCTGGCCCCGTCCTCGGTCACTGAGCATCTGCTCACCTCCTCGCTCCGGCAGCGGCGAGTTCCAGGCAGCACGAGACTCGCCCCACAGTGCCCAGGCCTCCCCCCTGCTCCTGTGTCCCGGAGGCCTCTCCCCAGACGGCAGCGTGGGCTCGGGCCCAAGCTACCACCTCTCGCCTCCACCGTGTGCCCGGGCAGCTTCTTACCCCCGCCCCGAACCCCCCAGGTTTCTCGTCCCTAAGTGGGGAGAGGAATTCTGCCTTGAGGGCTACTTGGTATGATGCATGTCCTCGTGGTGAGCACAAAATAAATGTTGCCATAGTTGTCACCCTGTCTTCAAAGCCCCTCCCAGAGGCCCGGGGCCGCTCTGTTCTCCCCAGGGCCTGCCACCTCACTGGGTCGCTCACGGGACGGTCTGGGCGCATGTGCCCGGAGTGTGGTGCGCTCTCGAGCCCCAAGATCGCGCGAGCAGGAGGGGGTGGCTGTGCAGGTCCTGAGGGGAACGCTGGCCTAGGGAGGCTGCAGGAAGTGGGCGGTCGCGTCGCCCTCCCTAGCGTGCCCCGTCCTGGGAAGGCAGGGACACTACACGCGAGGTCACACAGACGTTGTTGAACTGAGGTAACCCAGGAAAAATTTTATCTTCTCATTTCAGAACAAACTCACGATGTTGGACATTGCATCAAACAGAATCAAAAAGATTGAAAATGTCAGCCACCTAACAGAGCTCCAGGAATTCTGGGTAAGTTCAGCACATGCTGGGGTCGATGGCGCTTTGACCGAACTGTCCCACTGCGTGGAACGTGTGAACGAACGCAAGCGTCTCCAGCCCGTGGCCTCGGCGCTGCGTGTGCCGGGCAGTGGGGGGTGGGGGCTGTTTACGGTTGCATGGTGCTGTCCGTGGCCTGCTCCTCCGAGCATGGCCCACAGGTGTGCAGCGTGGCCATGACTGGGGCCCGCTGGGAAAGGGCACCTGGCAGGAAACCCAGGGACCATGTTTGGGACGAGGTGCTGCTGGAATGCGCGGTTCCTCTAAGCGCCGGCCAGGGAGCCGGGCGCGGGGCGTGGCATGCTGAGACACCTGTCGACTTCACCCGGCGCTGCAGGGCTTGCCACGGTGGCTTCTTGCCCCTCAAGTTCATCCTGGCAGGGCCGTGTGCAGCCGTGGGACAGGCGTGGGCTACGCACACGGTGGCAGGGTGCTGTCACAGTCACCCGTGCTCGGTCCTGAGCAGCGTTTGGGAAGAGAGGACTTCCTGCCAAGGCAGGTCCCCTCCCGCAGGCCGTGGCAGATGCCAACCTGCTTGGACCTCCGGGTCCCGCCGCCCCGTTGGCAGATCCCTGGCACAGGTGGGGGTGTGGAGTCAGCCGTGGGGGTGTCTGCGCCACTGAGGTCCGCAGTGGGGACACCCCAGGAAGGAGCCGTGCAGGTGTTTGCAGAGCAGCCGCGAGCTCCAGCTGCAGCAGCCTCCGATCCACTGGCTCCAGCATGGGGTCCCGGCCTCGGGGAGTCCCGAGAACCCGTCTGTGGGAGGCGCAGGTCGCGCCACCGCGTCACGGCACGGTGGCCGGGACGCTCGGGACGCTGCGGGAAGGGGCCGGGATGTGCCGAGAGGCGGCAGAGGCTCCCCGAGGTTCCGGGAAGACCGGACACCGAACCTCACTGTCCCGAGCGGGAGGACCAGGGCCCTGCCGGCCCTTCCCGAGGCGGGGCGCGGTCGGGGCGGTCGGCGCCAGCGCTCTCCTGACCTGCGCCCTGCGTCCCCAGATGAACGACAACCTCATCGAGAGCTGGAGCGACCTGGACGAGCTGAAGAGCGCCCGCAGCCTGGAGACGGTGTACCTGGAGCGCAACCCGCTGCAGAAGGACCCGCAGTACCGGCGGAAGGTCATGCTGGCCCTGCCCTCCGTGCGGCAGATCGACGCCACCTTCGTCCGGTTCTGAGTCCTCGTCCTCGCCCGGTCCCTCTCGAAAGAACTGCCCAGCCACGGTTTTTTATCCTCCGTTGCTCCTGAAGTCGTCACTTTATCCGCAGTCACGGGCCAGCGGCAACAACGGGCTCCGCCGGCCGCGCCGTGCATGAAGCCGCTGGCCGCCGAGGCGCGTCACCATTAAACCTTGCCACCGTCCCCGGCTGATCGTCTGCGGTTATTGCAGGGCGCCGCGTCCCTGGCCATTTGCTGGTCTCCTCCTCTGCGAGGGGCCTCGAGAACGGGTCTGTGGGAGCCGTGGGGACGGTCCCACGCTGGGGGGGGGGTGTCTGGGCCCCCCAGCCCGAGCTCTCGGGGTCCAGCCTGTCAGACCAGCCGACGCGACTCCGAACACGTCGAGTAAGGTTAAGAGCGAGCTTGGGCGGCAGTGCTGCCGCCTGGGTGCGGGGTCCTCGGAGCTCTCCTCGCCGGGGCGGTGGCCACGCCAGGCCCGGTGCCGGCCGCTCTTGCGTGCCTGTCGTTGACCGCCGGGGCCCCACGTGTGGCAGAAGCTCCGTGGCCCACGGCTGTGCTGCGCGGCCGGCAGACGTGAGCCCACGTGAGTCTCTCTTCCAAGATCTGACCTCTGACCACTGCGACGCAGCCTCGCACTAACACCCTGGCGTCGACAGACACCGGGGTCGGGGTTTACCATCCCCTCGGGTCCCCTCCACAGTGAGAGCTGCGGCCTGAGGCTGCCAGGCCCTCCCACGTCCAGGGCCAGGGCAGCACGTCCAGCGTGGGGCCACGCACTGCCACACGGCTGCTCTGCTCAAACTCAAGTTCATTAAAACGGAACTAAAGATTCAGCTCCTCCGCGGCACTCGCCACTCTCCGGGGCAGAGTCGCTGGGGGCGTGTCCGTTCCCTAGCTGGATGGAGCTGCCCTAGATTGCGCCGCTTTGGTGGCTGCCCTGGGGCCGCATCTGCAGCCGGCCAGAGGGTGATGGTCGCGCCCGCGTCCTGACCCGGCCTTGGTCAGAACACACTGGGTGGGACTCCGGGAAGCACCTGCCCCCTGAGGGGCAAACCTGGTGGGGCAGACGGGTGGGGGGAGCAGACTGCACCTTAGGACCCCGCCCTCGGCGGACAGGTCAGCTCTGAGGACAAGAGACAGACATTTCTAGACACACGACACAGGAGTTGAGGGCCCTGGCTGAAAACCTTGTTCAGGGATTCGCTACCAAACAGCAAATGAATCCAAGCTAGGAACTGAGGGAAAGACCAGATTTAGGAGCAGCAGCAGCAGCAGCACTGAAAACCAGCAAGACTCCAGTGTGAAAAAATGCATTTAGCGTGTTGTGAAGCTTTTTGCAAATGCTCAGACATAATTCCTAACAAGATACAAGACGTGCCCCACAGAGCAATCAGCAATCTGAAGCACCAGTTGCTGCTTTTCCTTTAATCTGGGAGGTGAACGTCTCGCCTGGGGGAGACCAGATGGGTTTGTGCTGGCGAGGAAGGAGGGAGACGCAGGGCAGCGGTCACTGGCTGCCGGAGCAGGGCAAGCTGCGAAACGCCAGCTCACACTCGGGAGGAAAACCAGGAACCCAGGCGAGGAGGACCTGAGGACATGGTGGGAGGGGGCAGGCAGGCGAGGCTGCAAGGGGGCCTCACTCGGGGTCCTCACGTGCCTGTGGTAGAGGAAGGACTTTTCCAAAACAGGCTAGAAAATCACATGCAAAAATGTTGACAGGGCGAGACTTGTGCGCTGAGTCCAGTACAATCCTATCAAAAGTGCCGCTTGAGTTTTTGAGACGCTTACTATGCTGTAAACTGTGGAAAAAAAAAACTCATATTACAATTCAGTTGGTTTGGAAAGGCACCGGGACAGGTGCTTTCCCACCTGATGCTCAGAGCTGGGAACTCACAGTGAAGAAGGCATGGGGCCTGAGCCGGCGGCACCAGCCCAGTCCTGGGGGAACCTGGGTAGGGACTGAGCAGCCAGGATGGTGCCCAGCGGGTTGGGTAGGAGCGGACAGGGTCCTGGGCAGCGCTGGCACGGTGGTGCGCTAGGCGGGAAGCCACTGCTGTCCCTGCCTGGGGCTGTGCGCAGGGCAGAACAATAAAATAGAAAAGTGATAGCGAACCACGTGGGAAAGTCTGTGTGGGAAAGCCTGCATGAGTGAGGAGGGTAAGACCCCACAGGAGGGTAAGATCCCGCAGCATCCTGTCCCGAAGGTCTTGAGCAGACAGTCTGGGGCCACCAGAGCCGCTCTGTCCTCAAGAGTAGCGGGCCAGGAGCCCCTAGGAGTGGACGTCCTCCTAGGACGGCCCTTGGCCGGAGACTGAGCAGAGCAGGAGCACACAGCTACATCAGGCAGGAAGACCCTTCTGAGGGCACCACGGGGTTGGGCTGAGCCCCCATGTTGATGCCACCGCAGGGCCTGCCAGGGCCACACCCTGCTGCCTCCTCTCTCCTTCCTGGTTTCCTCATCTCAGTCCTGGCACAGAACCAACGTCAGGGTCTGTGCAGGTGCAGTGAGATCTCTGGGAAGATGCCCCAGGCCCAGGCACGAGGCCCTGCTGGCCGTGACAGAGGGAACCGGCCTGCCAGGGACCCACCTGCTGTTCCAAGCACAGCGCAGGGAACAGTCGAGGCTCCCTGGGAGGGCCAGGCCTGCGGCTGCTGAGCGAGACTTTGGGGCTGAGAGGACGGCGCCAACCAGGACAAGGGTCCAGCCAGAGGGGTTTCAGCTGGCGGGAGACGGCCCCGGAGGACAGACCGCCGAGCTTGCAGTGCACCAGGGAGCCTTATGGAGGGCATGGCGTGCGGGGAGTGGGCTCCAGGGGACGGGCAGGGCCACACCCCGTCAAGAGGGGCCATGAGCTGGTGGGACATGCCCAAGGTCACACTCCAGGGAGTGGCAGAGCTGGCACTGCCACCTGGGTCTTCTGGTGTCCTGGACCCTGGTGAAACCCTGGCCCGCCACTCAACACATGCCACATAATAACTGCATGGAGCCTCAGTTTCCCTGCATCAAGATGGAGTTTGCTGGGCTTATCTGGCAAGGCTCCAGGCAGAGGTGACGCCTGGGGCTGTCCCTGCCGAATTCCTCCTCCTTCTTACCCTCTAAGGCAGCGGCAGTGACACCTCCAAGGCAATGGCAGTGACAGCGATGCTGCTGCTGAGATCTCTGAGCAAGCGAGGCACCGGGAGGAGGCACCTCTCCTGTAGCTCGGAGCCCCACACCCCTCTTCAGTCAAAGATCTGTTCCAGGAGCTGGGAGGCCTCGCCCTGCCCGCCAGCCATGGGGCCCCTCTCCTGCCTGCTTCGGCCGATTGCTGGGCACCACGAGTGCGTCCGAGGGGACAGGCCCCTCCCGCCCTCTGCCCACATGCCGGCCACAGGCAGAGACCAGGCTGGTGCCGAGAGCTGGCCGTGACCTCCGAGGCCTCTTCCGGAAGCCACTGTGCCAGGCCCACCGTGCTGCGTCGGCCACAGGGAGGGGGTGGGGAGACAGACTCCAGGGGGCTGAGCACACACCCCAGCCCCTCAGGCACCCCGATGCTCTGGGCCTCGGGGTGGCACCGTGGCATCTTCCTTAGGCCCTTGGGCAGCAGAAGGAACAGGTGCTCAGGGTGACTTTGGACAGGGCACCCCCAGCCCCAGGGAGCCTCTGTTTTCCCACCTGTCCAATGGCTCCACCAGAAGGAACAGGTCACTTTGGGGGCCTTGGTGGCCCGACCATCCTGTCACCATCCCCTCTGCAGAGAATGCTGGGAAGTGCCCGCTCCCCGCCTCGGGGACTGGGCAGGGGCAGGGCTGCGGGTGACTCACGACCCCTGGGGACCCACAGTCACGACCCGGGCCTGGCCCTGGATGACAGAGCCAAGCAGGGCCGGTGTCTGGGCTCACGGCTCTGCCTTTCCGGGCCTCGGTTTACAGGAAAAGGGGTCGGGCTAGAAAGCTGTCTCCCCTGCCTTCCCATGGCTCCCGCTTCACACCCTGCAGATGGGGAGGGGGTGCCCAGCTGCCCCCCTGAGAATCCAGCAGTGCTGCCCCCCAAACTCCACCTCCCTCCTGCCCAGGTCTCTCACTCTTTGCGCCATTTTGCCAGCCCGTGAGCGGGAACAGTGGCCTGTCCTCCCACAGAGACGGGGGTCGCCCGCAGGCAATGGGAGAATGGGGTGTCAGCACGCCAAGCCCCTCTCGGGGTGTCGGGGACCCAGGCGCCTCCCAGAGCAGCGGCTCCTGGACACACAGGCCCGGCCAGGCCTCCCGCCGGTGTTTCCTGCCAGGTTCTGATGCAGGTAAGTTACGGTCTTCTCAGAAACACCAGGTTACGCGTCTCTTCAGGTAGGTCTGGCAGGGTTTGCTCTGTGTCCTTAGGTTCTTCATCGCACAGCAGCTTGTGCTGTGACCTGCACACGGACACTCACTCTTCCCGCTTATTCTTTTTCCTTTTGATTCCTTGCCTGGCTTCTGGTGAACGGGTAAAAGCGTTTTGTATTTCTTTTTTTTCTCGTTCTGCTTATTTAGAACTGATGGCATATATTTCTATTATTTTAAGCGTTACCCTTACATTTTTTAAGCATGCATCCTTAACTAGCCATTCCGCTAACAAAGCCTGAAATGCATTTGTCTCCTTTCTGCATGCCTCACGAGGACATAGCGTACCACCTACTAAGCGCCAAGCACTCCATTTTCTTGTTACATGGAGTTTTAGTTTTACATAAAAACACACGGGCCAGGCTGACTTCGCCCAGGCGGGCAACATAAAAACACACGGGCCAGGCTGACTTCGCCCAGGCGGGCAGCGGGGTCCCCGCCAGCTCCACACCCCCTCCTCCCCTCCCCGCCCCCGCACCAGCTGCTCCGCAGGCACAACGCACAGCTAGGACCCGCCCTGTGCCCGGCAGCTGCAGAGGTTTGCTGCTGGAGCCCATCAGACAACCCGAGCGGAGAGCGGGGGCTTCACCTGCTGCTTCACAAGGACAGTGTCCACCTGGACAGCCGCAGAGCCACAGGGCAGCTGCCACCGCGTGGGGACCGCAGAACAGGAGGCCGCCGGGGGCCACCACTGGCTCCTGCCTAACGTGACTTGGCCGCCAGGAGAACCACACCAAGGATGGGAGCTGCCGGGCCCCACGGGAGCCACGGCAACGAGAACACACGAGTCTCAGCCACTGCATCTGGTTGTGGGTTTTATTTCAGAG